GAAGGGCATGCAGGGACTGGTAGTTAGCATCTGTGGTCACCGCTACCTGGTCCTGGCTCTTGGCCTGCTGCTTAAGGAGCACAATGAGGTACTCCTCCAGAGCCTCCATCTAGCTCCAGTGGTCCTGCTTCACCTGCTGGAATGCCTCCTCCTGGGCAACATCCTCTACCCACCTTGCCAGCTTCCACTCTTGCTACACCTGGTCCCATGCCTACTCCCATGTCTCCTGCTCCTCAGCCACCATCACCAGCCACTGGAGTAGGGCAGTCCAGTCCTGGGTGCACTGCTGCCAGTGCCAACTCATCCAGGTGGCTCCAGCAATGGGTAGTGGTAACCTGGAACCTGTATCCCAACTGGGGTTGGTGGCCTCTCTCCCGCATCCAGATGTTGGCCCCACAGAGGCAAGAGACAGAGGCCTTTTGTGAGACTGCAACAGTTCAGAGATAAGATGCTCTTCACCAGGGGCCGTGATTGCCATTGGCATCTACACCTTCTTTGAGGTGTGAGAGGTCTGTGCCCACCCAGCTGTGGGGACACACATTGCCCAATAAAGTTTTGAACTGTGTCCCATTTCTCTGCATACTGGGATGGGGCCCCAGGGCCAGAGGACTCCAGGTGGGTTGGGCAGAGGCCAGAGCAGGGACTGAGAGTGCCCACCCTGCTATGTGGGATTTACCATGTGTCAGGGGTTGGTGAGGCTGGTGACTCAGCAAGGGATTCCACAATGGCATGGGCAAGTGGCTGTGCCTGGTGTCTGCAGCCTGTAGTGGTCAGGGAGGCTGGTTCCTGGCCAGGGGCACCCCCTGGAGAGGAGCTGGTGCTGCTGGTGGCTGGCAATATTATTGCTGTCCACTGGTGGCGGAGCAGAAGGGTGCGGAGCTGGTGAGGCAGCTGCTGGCCAGGGCTTTCCAAGCTGCTAATGGGTGCTGCAGCTGGGGGGGTGGGTTGGGCAGGGTGCTAAACACCTGAGGGCTCCTCCTCCAGGGAGGTGTCACATCCAGAAGGGTCAGGGTTGGGCCGGGGCTCTGCTAGGCTGCCCCTGCTGGTGAAAACCGCAGGTTTGCAGCCTGGGCCCCAGGGCACCAAAATGTTGATCAGTTCCCACATAAAGGGCAGTCTTGTGGACATGACTGGACCAACGATTGTGCCTGACTTCTATGCAGCATTGGTGCACTGACCAGAAGTGGCCTCTCTTGTGCATCCCACCTGACAGGGTCTCATAAACATGAGGCAAACTGCCTCTGTACCTCCACATCCCCCCTGAAGAGGGCCATGAAGTCACACACCTCCTCCTGCGTCCAGTTGGGGCCCCAGGTGCTCGGCTTGGGAATGTGCATGCGGGTGGGCCTGGGCCTCGCTGGGGAGGGATGGGGAGGACATGGTGGTAGTGCCTCCTGTGCTGGGTCTCTGGGCCCCTATGCAGCTGCCCCTGTGTGGCTGGTACTGGACAACACCCAGGAGCACTCTGCCGTGGGTTAGGGCCAGGGCCTGGAAGCTGCATGGCAGACGCAAGTGTGCCACAGCACATACATATAGCTGCAAAGAAAGGAGAGTGCTGGGGGTGCACAGGAACAGGGAGCTTGTACTGTCCTCCTACCACAGGCAGCCAGGCCAGGCAGGAGCCCTGGCGAGGTCTGAGGAATGGGCAGGGAGAGCAGCAGGCTACAGCCCTTTACAAGACTCACCTGTGTCCAAGAAGCAGCTCTGGCTAGTGGACTGGATGAGCAGCAGCAGCCTGGGTCCTGCCAGGGGGCACACAGGGCTTGCACTCCCCCAAGCTCCTCTGCAGTGTGCCCCAAGGCACACAGTGGCTACAGGCTTTTATACCCTGCAGCTTGGGGCTGCCAAAGAGCAGCCCAGCCAGCCCTGGTGGAGGGGAGGGGGCCAGCTACTATTAACCCAGGCTAGCTTTAGTACTAGTATTAGTACATAGTACTACATTGTGCTTTGAAGACATACCTACCTTGTCACACAAATAGGGAATTCTTATTACAAAAGACAGGATACTAAGTATGTCCAGAGTTCCCACATGTTTTCAGAGCTTGTTTGTACTGTTCTCTTGTTAACTTTCTTAACTTTTTAAAAACAGGTTACATCTTCAGTTCATTTTTATGTAATTGAGGTAACATAAATCCCAGTTTTGCACATTGTTTAAAATCATCTGCGGTTTAACTGCACTAAAATCAGCAGAGGTATGCCAGAGATCAAACTAGATCATTATCTAGAAATGTACACTAGGGAACTGAACTTGCTTCATCACAAATAACTAAAATATTCTAAAACAGATATTTGTACTACACTTTCTACTTCATTTAATAGTGCTGTGAAACCATGAGCAGACTTCATCCTGTATTGGCTTCACTGAGGCCATTTGTGTTGCTGAATGGATGATTTTCATTCACTACTGTTTGGCTGATTTAACTTTTGTCTACGGCTGAACAAGACTGTCAATATTTGTTTTTAATTGACAAGATTCTGATAATATGGTGGTGGTGAATGCAGACCAGAACAACTGTGTACAGCGCTGTCAGCCTGACATGGCATATAGGGTAATGATAGACGTGGAAAAAATAATGTGCTTTACCAGAAGCAGCAGCACGTTAGTTCAACCTGGCTCGGCGCATCTGTATAGATTGGACACTTCAGCAAGGCTTTTTGGTGCTTTTATCTAATAGCTGATTGAATCAAAAAGCCTGACTAAAGCACCCAGTCTATACAGATGTTGGGAAAGCTGGGTGCAGCTCAGGCGCTGCCTCTTCTGGGCATGTGCTGGGCTCAGTGTGCAGGCACGCCAAGTTTTAAGTAAAGCACCACTTTTATTTTTCCCCCACATCTGAAAGCAGCCACAGCGTGCTGCCTGGCAGTTGGCCACCAGATTAGGAATGGACAGTAGTGACAAATAGACTTTAGGGATAAAAATCACAAATGCTGGGTGTAACTCTAAAATCTGACTGATGTTGGAAGGATCTCACTCTTAGTTTGACAAAACTTGTATAACTTGTCAGACCAATAAAGTCTCAATGAATTAAATTGTCTACCAATGGACATTTTGGCTTCCGCTGGTGTTTAGCCATTTTAAAGTTTTGCTGGAAAGGCTAGACTCTACTAGATAACCAAACATTCACTTTAAGCCATCCGTAAGTGTCATTCTGAAGTCTCTTTTCAATATAAAGTTCTAGAACAATTCCTCTTTGTTTACCAGTGAAGAACTGCAGCATGTTATTTTCGGAGGCCCAGAACTAGTATGTGATTATTTCTACACTACAAGCTTACCGTGCCAAGCAGTGGTGCCCTCACATACACTCATGCTACCTAAGGTTATCTCCTGATCTGGAAGCAGTAGAGATGCATGAGCTAATTAGCTCTTTAACCATGCACATATAGCTATACTGCTTCCAGTTCAGGAGCTATCCTGTGTGAAGCAGGGCAGTATATTTGAGGTCACTGCTGCCTGGTACTTTACGTTTGCAGGAAGATGTATTTCTTTTTGAGCCATAAATACTTTGCTTTTTTCAAACAACAGATTCTCGGTTTTTTCCCTTGCCTAATTCACAAATCGGAGCAAGCGTAACATGGCATCCTTCATGATGTATTTGTATGTAATTTATATCAGAAAAATATCATGATGCATCATGTATAATTAAAACATATAACAAAATAAGGATCACATTTATTCTCCAGCCTATGAAATCAACACTATATGATTCATACACACGTATCTACTGGAAAAGCACTAAGGCAATTGTGCTCCATAATGAAAAATCTATAGGAGTTGATTAGAGCTCAGTGAAGACTGGAAAAAAATATCTGTGAATATTCTTGAATTTTTAAACAAATCTGCTTCTATTATGTTCACACCCATTTATTTGTTATGAATTATTCACCTAGAGCTTAGGCTGATGGAAGGTAATTGGTTTTGTAGCCATGGGGTTAGGCTTAACTATTCCATTTGAATTACATTACAATGATTATTTATTACGTGCATTGTAGCAGTGCCCAGAGGCTCCAGTCTGGATCAGGAATCCATTTTGCAAAGCACTGTGCAAACACAGAATCCTTTTTACTGAAGCCTTCCCAGTTCCCAGACACGACTGTCAACCAGCAGCGCTGAAGGGATGTGATATACAGCTAGCGGGATGCGGGATGGGTGACAAACCTACCCTTAGTTTGTCATGGTTGGTTTGAATTAGGGGACAGGCTGTGAGGTGAAAGACAAAGGGGTGAGTTCATAGGAACAGAGGATTCTGGAGGAGGGAAGGTGGCAGGGGAACCTGCAGGGAGGAAAGAAAAATAACCCGGGGTCAAATCCTGAGGAAGTCGAGCCTGGCAGCAGGACTGCTTTCTGCTCCTTAGGGCAGGCAGTCCCCCGGGCTTGTGGTACAGGTGATGAATGCCCCCGCAGGTGCTCCAAACCTAGAAAGGGCAGCAAGGAGAGAAAGAAGGGGCCCAGCTGGGCTTCCCTCTCCCCGCCACAGGCAGGCCAAGGGGTGTCTTTGCTGATGGGGGGCAGTTCCCAGGCCCCTGGCAAGGGGGGCAGGCCCTCCCATCTAGCCTGAGCAGAGCTGGCGGGCGGGGGGGGGACTGAGCTCCTTGCCTGGGGGTAGGGCTAAGGGGACACCGGATCCCAGGGCCAGGGGGCGCCTAGTGCCCCCCAGCCCGGTGCCTCGGGGCTGGCCCGGCCGGGCGCTGCTGGTCTCGCTCAACATCTGCGGTGGCGCCTCTGCCTCGGGGCGGGGGGTCCCCGCAGACGGCGCTGCCCGGTGCCC